AGTTTAAAATTCTTTTGCTTTCCATTTGAGTCGCTTTAGTTAAAGACTACATAATGCACTAAGAAATACTATTTTGTGCTATTCATTTGGATTCAACAGGTTATACAAGTTTTTATCATCAATATTTCAAAGACATTGTCTGACGATTTTGAATATTAGAATTTCACATTAGCATATTTTAACCGCGTCTTAAAAAATGAAACAGCTCTATTGAAAAAGCCTTTCAGCAGCAGACGTCCATCAGAACTGAACCTTTGGATTGTGACTATAGTGACTATATAGCCTTTTTGCAGACACTATTTCGATACCATTGGCCAAGCTAATCTGCTGGAACTGATAGATAGTCTGGATAGCTGGAATTTTTTTCTGTAAATAGACACAAGTTCATTGAGCCGATGGAAAGGTTTCAGTGGAAAGCTAGCGAACAAATCGAAAGGGCACTGTTTTTAATATATCATGTATAAAAAATGACAAAAAATGATTTCTTTTAGAATTTTTTTAATTCTGAATCCGCAGTCAGCATTGACTTGCATTGTAGTATCGGTTGACTATGAACTAATCCGATTTCTAAACGCAGTCGACCTCACTGCACTCATGTTCACGAAAAGTCGAAGCCTTTGTTGCTAGGTTACCGCATAGCTACGAAAAAACGACTAAAAGTCAGCTTTTTTAGTTTAATTTGAATATTTATCTGATCATCGTGTTGAAATTCGAAGTTTCGAGCGAACGGAAGGGAAACTCCATAAAACTCCCAGTATGCGGTACTTCCTAACCGGCAACGTGAGAAATTGCCGCACTTCCAAGAAACCAAAGCTTATTTTAACCCTCGGTTGGCACCAACGCGATGCCTCATCGTTCATGGGTACAAAGCTGCTTTTGCGGTGCCCCGTCGCGGAGTTGTTCTTTAAATTTCCTTTCTCACTCAAGCTCGTTCTCACTGAAGATCTTAAAACTATAAAATAAATAGGTAATTACTTTTCATTTAGCTKTGTTTTCGGATCTCGAGTATGTTAACATGGGTTAAGGCCTGGTTGGCACAGAGGCTATGCTCAAAAAAGTGTTTTCGTTTATAATTCGATATGATTCTCTTCTATTGTATTAATGTTTTGACACAATTTGTAGTATAATGTTTCTGACAATTTGGTGTGTTCAATATTGACATCAAGTGATCACGTGACCTTAAGGCCAGAAATTCAATATTTTTAAAATGCGGTCGTGAGTTTAATACGAAATGAAATCATTTTGGTGCTGAATAGTTGAGAGTCGACGTTGAAACAAGATGTCGCTTTCAAAGTTTGTCTGGCAAGATTTTAAATATTTCGAAAATCAAGAAAACGTAGCTTCAAGGATCATGGTCACTTGACCCATTTCCCTAAATATCTCACTACACGAAAAGAGTTGGACAAGATTTGACAACGACGTTGTCTTAATATCCAAAAAAAAATAGGTGCATTTGTTTGTTTTAGTATCTACTCTATACTGGCGACCGCATTCTAAATCAAACTTCACTGAACTTGCCCATCACGTGGTTAATCACGTGATGAGTTTTTGGACATGTTTTCGTCTTAAGGAAGTACAAAATGCTAAATTCTAATAATGTCTTAAATTTGGTGTTGTTAAGCTTATGTGTCGAGAGTTTATGAATTTTCAAAGTTTGCATCACATTCTGGTCTGAACCAGGCCTTAACATATATACTTGAGCCGAATGGATGGCAATCGGAACGATTTAATTCCGAAGACTTCGAACACTATTCCCATGTAAACCTGTGATCAATGCGTCAGAATATAAAGTCTTCATTCGATTACATACTTTGCAGTCTGACACATCACGGTAAACGTGTAAATATGATTGATTTGGTTTTCTTTTACTCGACTCCGTTTTGGATAGGTACGTGCCGCCAGCGGTCTAAAACCCTGATCCTATTAAGACACTCGAAAGTGAAAATCCATACCCTGTTCAAGACAAACCGGAAAAATACGGAATCGCTATCTACGCCGCAACCATCAAAACTGCAACAAACTGACATCCATCAAAGACAATAAGAAGGCGTTTGATAACACGTTAATAAATCCTGCTACATTGAAACGGTAYTTCTACCATTTCTACGGTATTTCTTATGAAATATTACCCTGTCTAAGACACACAAAAAATTATATCGGTTTTTATCTAAATTGTAGAGGCTGTTTAAGACAATTTCCGGTGAAATGAGTCTACTAGACAATAGCCTGGGCTTCCTGTGCTTTATTCGTGTTGTAGTTCAGGTTCAATATTTTTTTGAACCAATTTATCTAATTTGTATAGGTAATAGCATGTTTTGTAGTGGTATTTGGGATAAATACGACGCGTGATATTTCAAAATTGTCAAACAAAATTTCACTAGCGAAGTGAGTGGAATTTGTGACAAATTTTGTAATATCACAAAAAAAATCTATCACAAGTGGTATTTATCCCAAATTCCACGTACAAAACATGCTATTATTTGTTTATAAAAATTATAAATTGTGCAATTTGAAATACCACTATTAAGGATAAATACCACTATCTAAGCCAATCAAATTGCACAATTTTATTCAACCATATTATAATCTATCTTCTACTATCTCCTACTTTATCTAACCCTATTGGACTGGTTCAAAATACACTGAACCAGTTCAGAAGAAATTGCACTGGTTCAAAATCATATTGAGCCTGAACATTTGTTTTAATAATAAGCTATACAGGAGTGATTTTCGCGGAGCCATATGTTCATCGTGTAGTTTAACGGATGCTTTGAACGGCTCTGCAGAACCTGATCAATCACTTTTGGTACCCAATACTAAAAATAGATGATTTATAACTTTTCAGGCATTATTTTTGTCACTTAATAAAAGAAATTGAAAATTCACTGATTTACAAATTGAAAAGGCACGTGAAATTCCCAAACTATGACGTCACAAATATCTCGTGTCATGACGTCACAATGGAGATCGAGATAGACCTCTAGAAAAATGTTAGCAACTGTGTTATGCTCAATTTTCTTGTTGCAATACTTTCTTCATTCGATAAGAGCATCGAAAGACCAATACAAATACTAAAGCAAGTGGTTTTATATGTTTTACGATTTGTCAAGTTTGGACAATTAACTGAAGAACGGGAAAGTGAAAGAGTAGACGGCAGTCACTTTGGTCAAAAGAATATTTATCCCTGCAGCAGCAATGCAGTAAAAACACACTCCAAAGTACTCACTAAAGCATATAAATGTAGCGTGCAATTTGCCGAAGGAATGCTGTTAAGCGACAGACTGTTGGAAGTCCTAGCGCCAATTACATCTTCGCCACGAAACAGATTGGTGGCAGAGTATTCTATATCCAAACGCCTACTACCTACAAAACCCTCCATTGCTACAATAATGACGGCTCTTCAAGATTTTAAATCAACTCTGGTCACTTTGGCAACTGCACTGAATGAAGTCGATGTCGTCGATAGTTCCAGCTTGGAAAATCAGGTTATTTTGACGCGTTTGTTACGTGATGGAAATGTGTCTGAACTCGGGGACTTACCTTCAGTAGAAGTTTCTCATAATTTTGAAGCTGAGAGAAATAGCTATCAAGACCAAAGTATCAGAAACTCTGAAAGTATCTATTTAGCTATTTTTGAATTTGTAGACGAAGGATTGGACTCAATCAAGGAAAGCTTAAGGGAATTAGCTGATATTCTAGATGCTCAAACTTTATCACATGTTATGAATAAATGTCACTGAAACACAAGAAAAATTAGTTTTTCAAACTCACGTCATGAAAACAATAAACCTTCTTTAAATAAAGTTTTATTATTATTATTAATGATAAAAAAATATTTTTTGAAACAGGTTTGTAAATTATGGTCTATCTGCCTGCGTTAACGAGAAGGAAGCTTTTATCTTGTAATTAAAGAGTATAATCATGCWATCACAATTTTTAGGCAATGTGCATCGACGCCATTTCGTGCAGCTAAGCATGATGGTAGTACAACTACAACTACTATCACTACTAGATGCTTTCCTGCACAGACTGCGCCGCTGCACATTGGCTGATATACTTGGGCCGTCTGTGATTAGGCCTGGACACAGATATCGATCTATTTTCAATCGCGTCTATTTTATATAAATAATTTCATAGGAGCGACAAAAGATAGTCATCTCTGTTCGTTTATATTGTTTCTTTAGAGCGTTGGAATATTTACCGATTTCGCGATCAACAATCATCACGATATATGTTGCTGCACATGATAGCTCATGATCTCATTTCATAATAATATTAAAACTCACCTACTGAGGGAAGGGTGAGGTAGTTGTTGTCATATGCAAATTTTAGAATTACGTTCGTCGATTGGCTGGTTCCAATCGTATCCCTCAGGTAAACATGATACTTGTTTTAGTTCGCCATGTTTACGAACTCGCAAAATGGCGGGTAGGTTGAAGCTGAATAGCGCTTATACACCTAATTCTATGAATACTTTGAAAGCTGGGGAAAATTAGCGGAAAATCAACCATGAGATCTCTAAAAAAGCTTGCCTCTCGGTCTTCAATTCAACAGACGAATGCCGAGTATGAAAGACGAGAAGTGACGCCGAGCCAAAGTAGTCAACAGAATGCGGAGAATTTAAACCTTTTGGATGTTCATTGGAATAATTCTAAGCAAATCATGTGCTTAGAGGAAAGAACGGTGACTCCTCAAGAGAAGTGCAAGATTTTAGTGTATCATTTGAATGAAATTATTGAAATTTTAACTGATGAGAAGGAAGACGATTACCCAGGACCCTGCATCAAATATGCCATCGATGAGGAAATTTTCCAAATTTTGTATTTATGGAGTACCGAATCACCAGGGTCTTTAAGAGATTTAATAATGAGAACCGAGCAGATGCGGATTTATAAAAAATTCATTGATAGATGTAAAGCTCCTATTTTATTGTATGAGCAAGTTTGGAAACCTTTGCTTTTGCTACTTCACTCTTGCAACACCGTGACGGCTGACATGGAGGCAGACTTTGTAGCAATATTGAAGAGCTTGTGCGTCTGTGTTAATCGAGAAGCTGCTCTGTTAGACTTATTTTTCCTGGATAATCATAACGAGAGGAACATTGGGTCGCTCTCGATCTTTTCTCTGCTAATTCCGTACGTTCATCGAGCTGGAGATGTTGGCGCGTGGGCTCGCGATGCTGTTCTCTTGTGTATGGCTTTATCATCAGTAGACCATAGATTGGGGAGCTATATCATCGAGAAGACCAATTTTTGCCCCGTGAGTGCACCACATTTCTATACCCGAGCCTTACCAATTCAGTGTATTGATCAGTTATTTTACATGCAAGTGCACATGCCATCCCATATCCCATTCAATACAACTGGGCGGGCAAATGCTCTTTACCTTGTAATAAATCTAAAAAACTTACTAAATTAACAATGCATAACATTGAAACTTGTTGACTTTTTGGTTGGTTTATTTATTTAATACAGGCGGTTTTTTAAGTCACTGTATCACTAAGGATTTTGATGACTTAAGCTAATTTGATAGGCTTTATTATTATACCACAAAAAGGACYAACTATTATACAGTAAAAGCGTACAAAACATTACAGTACTTATACTAATTTGTACTGATCTATGCTTATTCTTTATGTTTTCTTTTGTTCAACTAGCACTAATTTGTGCAATTTACAATTTGTGTTTCGCACTTCTACTAAAAGCACTTGTCATGTAATGAACAGAACACTACTGCAGTTGAACCTTCACAGACCCTTTGGAAACATTTACTAACTGATAGCTACCTACTCCTTGGTTAATTTGTGAGTTTCCAGATTTTGTGGACCTTATCTCCCAGTCTACTCCAATTGAGACCTGAATCAATTGTTCAGCATTTCAAATCAAGCGGTTGAATACTGCATTTATTTAACCTGTCATTCTTGATGCTATGCATAATTCTATTAATTTCTCTTTTTAAGGTTCTTGCAACAGGTTTAAGTGGCCTATTCTCAGACCTCCCAACATCACTGGACATTCCATCTGAAGACTGGTACTCACTGGAAAGAGGACTGTGGGCAACATTTCCTGAACTGGTTGCTTTTTTGACTTCATTAGAGTTTTGTAATAATGTTATTCAGGTAAATAACAAAATAATCAATTTAGTGCTTCTGCTACAGTACTTCACTTTTGTTATTGTCACTTGGTGTACATTGATAGCTACCGGTAGTGAATAAGAACCTGCATTTTTCGGCTTTAGGAATACTGTAGGTTCCTATTTGTCACAGTTTTAAATGCCCATAAAAGTCACCCACTCATATTCTATATATTACATAAATGAAAGTTTTTAAGGAAGTTTAGGCTACCAAGGCTCTTAAAATATGTTTTTATGTTTTTATGAAAATGTGCTTAAGATTTAATTATAATTGTGTTTATTGCAAATATCATAAAACAGAATATTTGGGCTTGAAAGATCAAAAATGTCATGTAAAGTTACCTTTAATAAATTGAACTTGATTCAGCAGTTTCTACCAATACACTTATACTGCTTTCCCACTAACACCCTTTGAGCAAAGGGATTTTTCCAACCCCTTCTAAGAAGAAAAGGAAAATGCCTCTGCTGCAGGACAGTTAGTTCTTTTGATCTTGCTGCCTCCAAAATCTTGGAGGTAAACCATATGATGACTCCATGTAAATAAACTGCTATGATGTTACATAATCGGTTCAGTAACTGCTGAAATTCTGAGCTTTCAAATATGTCAAAATGGTGAACATTACAGTGAACCAGGCGTGTAGAGTGGACATTTTGGCTAGTAAAACCCACATGGTAGGGACCGTGACACATATTTTGGATCTAGGGGTCTAACGAATGCCAAAGGTGGGAGTATTAAGGGAGTCTGGACCTCCCCCAGGAAATTTTGAAATGACAACTCTTGGAAATGCAATTTCCAGCATTTTGAGAGACATCAAGGGCATATAAAAGGGATCAATTTTMTGTGAATTTTTCAGTAATTTTTGTGAAAATTTTAATATTTTCTTGCCACTAGTACACACATGCATATATGCGTAAAGGACGATATGCGGCTGTGAACAAAATGCACTTTTGAACTGTTGTACTCCATAACAAAGGAAGCTTAATGTGGCAAATTTGACCGAGTATTAAGCACAATATCCAGTTAGAGCCAATCACAGCATTCTTCACAACAATGATTCTCATGAACGAATGTTTTTATTAAAGAATCTGTATTTTAAAGCTCTCAAAATTTTAATTGAAAATTGATTAAGGTACAACTTACAAGAACGTTGGTAAGATATTAAGTTCTGGTTGCCATACAACATAAAATATCTGTACTCTACACAGCATAAGTCTTAATGAAATCTTTCTCAGCATGTCAAAAGGTCATATTCGGATAAATTATTAAGTAAATAACAAACTTAGCATAATCATGAACATATTTTACCTGCAAACAGAGGATTTTTCCAAGGATATTTTCTATTCAAAAAATTAGGTTTTAGCACACCATCGTTTAGTAGTACTTCAGATGCGATAGTCCCCCCCACACCCCACACCCCCAAAAAATTGTTATATGATAGACCCAATATTGACAGGGTGTGAATCAATGTCATAGATAACATCCAATCATATCATTGTTTCAATGTGCATGCTCAAAACAAAATTTACCATCCTGCGGCTGAGGTATTTTTCCTTTTCTTCATAGAAGGGGGTGGGAAATTACTCTGCTGACAGGGTACACTGATAAGAACTCAATTTAAAAATTTAGCTTCAATAGATTCTTGGATGGACTCTAAAATGAGAATTTTAATAAAAGCTCTTGAAATCCGTTTTTGTATATGGGATATATTTATTACTGTATTTTAACTTATTTTCATGTATTAACTTTTATATGAATCCATAGATTGCTCATCCTAAAGTACAGTCTATGCTTCTCGAGCTTATCTATAATGGATTTTTAGTCTCTGTGATGTCTGCAGCCTTGTCACAGGTAAGAGCAGTACCCGGTTTAAAACCCTGACCCAGTTTAATACACTAGAAAGTAAAAATCCATACTCTGTTCAAGACAAATGGAAAAATAAGGAATTGCTATCTACGCCACAACCATCAAAACTGCAATTATACTGAAATCCATCAAAGACAATAAGAAGTTTTTGATAACACGTTAATCCTGCCACAGTGAAACGGTATTTCTACGGTATTTCTTATGAAAATATTACCCTGTCCAAGACACACAAAAAATTGTATCGGTTTTTATCTAAATTGTATGATGAGTAGCTTAGGTAGTGAAGTTGATCTACAGCACATTATAGTTTCTTTCATTTTTGTTACAAATATGCAAATACAGTCCTTTTCCTCTCATCAGCTACATGTATATGTATTCTTGTAAATGTTGTAATTATGGGATATCACTGCAAATATTTTTTTCAGAAAGTACTGGTGCTAGGCAACTACAAAAATATCAKCAATGATAAATATATACCATGATTTCCTATATACAGTCAACTCTCACTATTACGGACTCTCTTGGGACTGTAATTTGGTGTCCGCAGTAGTGAGAGTCTGTAGTAACGAGAGTTACTTTCAGTCATTTCTTTGTATGTTTCGYCGGGGATTCAGTATTTTACTGTCCACAATATTGTGGTGTGTGTTGTAGCGGGGTGTCCGTAAGGCGAGAGGTGACTGTAATATTTCTTATTTACTTGAAATATGTCTCAAAATATATCATAATATCTGCATATTGCTGTTCATGCACTTATAGGTAATATTATGCATTTTGTAACAGAGCTCTGTTGAGGCCCTTACAGCAGTCACAGCCTATGTTGACATGTTTCTTAGAAGTATCACTGACTCCAAGCTCATGTCTGTATTTGTAAAGTTTATCTTGGTAGAGCAATGTGATGGCACTCCTCTTCTGGAGTATTTAGTGTCCAGGATAAGTCAAGAATCACAGGTATTGAAGATATGTCCTGATCTGATCCTTTGCGATGCAGTAAAACTACTTAATTAAAGAGGCACCTCTACATTTGTGCATTCTTTATTTCTGTGATTTTTATGTGACATAATTTGATTTTTTTTTTTCAAAAATGACCTCACATAACTTTATTGTCCATAAGATGGACATTTTTATCTATATTTTAATTGACAAAGGCTTATGTATTTTTTTAATTACTAAATTAAAAAAATWAAAAAAATAAAAAATAAAACAAAATATAGCATAAAATAGTGGTATGCTAATTTTTCCAACCCATATAGTATTAGCCTGAGTATCAGGCTCTCTCGAAGGGGATTCCCAGGCTAATATAGGCTAATATAGTATTTATAATAGATTTTTTTGACTTTTAACATTTAATAACATACGACATTCATTGATAGTAAATATTGTAAAATATTTTTTTTTCTTGAATAACCTGACATGATTATGTTTTAGTTGTCAGTGGTGTCACTTGGATTATTTTACACTTTGCTGGATTTGAATTGTGAAGATATCATGTACACTCTTGTTCTGAGGTAAGAGGACTTCATACGTTTACATTTACTTGCATTGTTTAAAAATGTCAGACAGCAGCACAACATCAAATGCTGTATTAAACCAGATAAGACTACGACAGATCCTCTCCAGACCTAAAGATCCGGTGGAGTTTGAAAAACAATCTGGGGTAGAATTCMCTGTGGTGAGTGTAGTACTGAGTACATTGGCGAGACAGGAAGGGCGTTAAGAACACGTAGAAAGGAACATGAAGCGGCTTTCAGATTGGGAAAAACAAGCTCGTCGGTTTTAGCTGAACATGCAAGCAAGACAGGGGATGCGATTGACTGGAAGGAAACATCCATCTTGTGTAAAGAAAGCCGTTGGTCACAGAGGAGATGGAGTGAGGCAATAGAGATTGCAAAGAAGAAGAACGTTCTGTTTAATAGGGACAAGGGGCGGATGATGCCGCAAAATTATCTTTGTGTAATTAGAAGTTAGTTACCGCGCGCGCTTATTACATGTAGATCTTCTCGGAGCGCGCGCTYATTGTTTTTATGTTGTTTTGTAAAATGTAACGTTTTTCATTCAGTCTTGATAATGGCTCGGTGAGCCAAAAGCTCGACGAAAATAAATAACTTTTAGGTTGAAGTAGCGCTTACATCGTAACTTTACAAATCTTTGTTTATTATATTTAGGTACCTCATTCCATGTTCTCATATTTTGAGCAGTCAAAAGCGAACTGTCCGAGAGGTGGATTTTTACAGCAAAAGTGCGGCGAAATTTTTGTCACTTATTCCATCATGTTGTGAGATGTACCATCAGACTAGCAAACCAACCTCTCCTTCATCATCATCAGAAAGTCTCAATAAATCCATTGAAGGAAAGGTCAAGATCGACTTGGGAACATCACATGACCTTGTATTATACAGGTTAGTAGTACATGTGTGTAACACTCAATGCTCCTCAATGGCCTTGAAGAGGAGGGGGGCCTTCGAAGAAGCTTGTAAAAATATTAGAATAGCCCATTTTCGATATTTTGGTTGGATGATCACAGGAATAGAAGATGACTCTCTGAGAAACAATTGATAATGCTTTTTAATATGAGCTTCTTCTTCAGGTCTTTTGGATGCTGTTATTCAGGCATAATATCAAGAGTGGGCTATTGATTCCTAACATCAAACGAGACAAATAAACATTGCTGTAAAGCAGCATTGTTGATAATTCTACTTTCAAAAGTGACCATAAAATTCCGCTAGTGAGCATTATTGTCTCTTGATACCCCAAGGGAGACCAAGATGCTGAATTCATCCTCTTAGCATCATCTGCAGGCTTCCCTCTTCTTATTCCCTCTTCTTTCTATTTCTGGGCTCCCTGCCTTCTTCAATATGACCCCCTACTTGGCCAAAAGGATACCAAAGGGATCCCTATTGGGTGAAATGAAGTGTTGACTGCGAAGGAAGCTACCGTTCTCTCTCTTTTGTGTATAGRCCAAATCTCATGAATACGCAGTACAGTGAAGTACAGTCAGACTACATGGATTACCTTGCTGATGCCCGTGCAGCTATCAGATATTGTGCAATGCGCTGCGCATGCTGGAGCTCCACTTACGACGGTGCTGACGCTTCGTCGATGGACTCACCCGATGAAGAAAAACGACGAGCAGCCTCGCTTTTTAATGGTTCAGTTGAATATGCCCGAAGCCTGTCCGACTCCTCTTCGGTGCGTTCGGGAAGTGAAAGTAAAAAGCTGAGATCAGCGTCTGACATCGACAACCAAAGTGCGGAGAGCTGTTTAGGGCCGTTCTTGACCACCATTTTTAAAAAGCTGGAAAACATGCATAATAACACGTTCTATGTCAATTTGATTCTTACGGCAGTGATAACACGGTTATCGTACTATCCCCAGCCATTGGTGAAGTCGTTTCTACTTAATTACAATATGGTGCTCAAGCCAGGGGTGCGATCTCTCTTTCAGGTATGCTTGAATGTTACGATTTTTATATTGACAGAAATATAATGCGTCAAAATGCATTTATCTGGACGTACTTTTCATATGTTTTCTTACTTTTTTTTTCTGGTATCTTTAACTTTCCATTAAAGTTCATTTTGTGACGAATCTTTTTCAGATTTTAAGTTCCTTGAAAATCAAAGTCGAAAATGTGGTGGAAAATGTAGACGGTCTTGAAAAGCTCCTGAGAAGAGCACGAAAGAATCTTGTTCACAGAGAAGAAAAGAGCAAAGCAAGTATACAAACTGCCTTCATTGAAACGCAGCAACCCGTCGTCAAAGAACAGAGAAGAGTTTTTGATAGTTCTCGATCTCCAAAACACTCCTACCGCACAAAAGCTGAATATTCGTTGCTAAGCGCTGTAAAACTCTTGAAAGATGGACCTCCGCCGTCATTAACTAAAGCAACAAGTTATGGAAGTATCGACACTAATAGCTCATCTTCAAGTTTATCTTTAACGGAATCTATAGAGACACCAGAATCGATGAGCCCACTGTACGGTAGTACCGGAGAGTTAAGTGACTGCGCAAGCCCGAAGGTAGCGACACCTRTTGCAAGCCCAAAGCCTTGGCATAAATGGAAACAGGGTAGCGAAGGAGCGAAGAACACATTTAAACGGAAAAATCCKAAAAYGATTAAAAATGCGGTGTATTGTGTTATTGTATTAGAAGAATGGCTAAAAGAACTAGCAGCCATATCACAAGAACATGCTTTGTGGCCAATGGAAGAACATTCCGATGTACCATCATAAATTTGAATTAATTAGAGCAAATGATCGACAGTCAATCACGAATTAAATAAATTCAGCATATACACACAACGAGCATTTTATAACAAAATTAATTTATTTTCTCAGCGATGTTATGGTTAAACTCWTTTTGGGATGAAATTTTCCGTTATTTTCAATATTAATTGCACGCTTCCCGCGTTTTCTACCCTTACGTAAATATATGTCCCGGTTTATWTGTCCCTGGTTTATATGTCCCTGGTTAACTATTTAGACACTAAATCAGAACTTGCGCTTGTGCTTGATCAGCTATCAAAGAACTTACATGTAATCCTTTTTTTAACTGAAGTATAGATGTTCTAGTTATGTTAGATTTTTATCGTAGCAATTTGTTTTATTGATATTTACAAGCCGCGTTTGTTAAATTTTAGAAACAAGATGATACTCGAACAGCGGCGTCGAACAGAGAATCGCAGGTTCGAATCTCGTCTCGAGCACTTTTTCTTCTTTGTTTCTTTCGTTGTAAATATAATTTAGTTATAATAATAATATAGCTGGTAAAAAAATATKTTAGCGTAACCTGGACACGGTATGTTCCACGAAGTGGTTCYTGTTGCTAATTAGCATTATCATATAAAAATTATCWTTGCGGCTACCTCGTTTCTACCTTCCAATATAGCTTTATGTCAAAATGGCCGCCGCTTAGCATATAATTTTCGMACATTCCCATACACAATAATCATGATAATTTCTGATTAATGCTAACTGCTCTAATAACATTAGTTTCATTACGTCGAATGAATGATAAATAAGTAATGAATACCAACAATTAGGTTTTAAGARCTCAACGCTTTAGTTCAACCTTTGGCAGCGCCCGCCATTTTGAAAACGACTGARTTTCGTACAACATCTCGAAAGGTAACAGCAAGTGGGCAGTTAAGCAATGATAKGAACTTTCACACCCGCAGACAATTATTCAAGGGTATGATTCCAAACGCAACGTTTRTCTCGCTTCGATGCAAAGGCACGGTTACATTTACGGCCCAGGGAACTGTGAGGAAGACTTTGGTATTCAAATAAATCTGTCATGTTCTGTATGCGTTGTAGTTTAACCAAAACTGCATTAAAATAGCCAGCATTGATGCAGGGGTGGATTCAGAGAGGCGAGGGCTTGGAGAGACGCTGACTACCATTTTCAAATTATCACACTTCATATCATAAAAAATTAATCAAACATTTAGTATGAAATAACCTATGAAATAAAGTCCGCAAATAGAGAAGACATGTGCAACCTTCTCTTTGTTGTCTTTGTTGTTTGGTCAAGTTAATATAGGGGAATGGTTTGGAAACCTTTTGTTGTRGTTCTTTTGTACATCTTTTGTAGGTATTTTGAASTTGAATCGATTACGACTTTTTTGTTGTGGAAATTGCAAAATGACTAAACAKAAACACCCTCTATGAGATTAACAGTATGGCTAAAACAATAGTTAAACAAAAGATTGTGCACTGTCACGCCTGGAAAAAAGTACACAAAAAACTACAACAAAAGGCTTCCTAACCATTTCCCTTTACAAACTACATGGTTTGGCTAATTCATGAATCTTCGGATCTAGTTTTTGTTCAATGTTCTAATGGCAAGAGAATCAGGCTATTAATGATTAGACATTTGTTTTTGCCTTAGACTTTTGATTGAAACTTGCTATTTCTTTTTAAGCGTATTATTTACTAATCGAGGGGTCATTTTGCACTATAGTAATTATCATACGATTATGAAAGAGCAACTAAGTTAATAGATTCCATTGGACCACTATGATTCCAGAGTGCATCCTTTTGACCCTAGTGACTTGTAATTTTACAGTCACATGATGGAAGTCATGTTGGATGTTATTAAGCTGGGGTCAGAGAACAAATAACATTTGAAATCATTTTAGTTATATGTTATATTTAATGTATAAAACATAAATTAAGTATACGAAACCGATATATCTTTTTTACTGACAAAAGAATGTGCTTACAATCTACGTAAGTCGAATATTTATTCTTGGTCATATATACATTTTACATGTGAAAGTTAAAAATTGTTTTCCTTGTAACCTAAGGGCTACAATAAATCGTCCTTCCAAAGATTCTTGGTCATACAGTGCCACTTATCCACGGGTGGCCGATCCGGAATGCACTGTCGTCCGTAGACTCGTGATGAGTTTTCAGCCATAGGCATAGCTATCTCTGGTCGCCAATGTCAGAATTGTTATGCAAGTTTGATAGTTTGACTGGCACAAGACTGTGATTACAAGAGCCTTATCCTACATAACTACTAAATTTAAAGGGACTTTCCGTTACTAAAATAACTAATGTTATCCTAGGTATGAGCCTAACAAACAGTTCTTATAATTGCATGTTCGTATATGTTGAAAAACCTGAATAAGTATGGTACGAATATCATTTAAATCTTGTAAATCTAACGGATGATCAAACAATCACGCTGTGCATTTCTTATAAGAAATGTTGACCTGTGACCGACAGGAATAGTCTCTTTCGAGGTTCCCTCCGCCAACTGTGCATTTTTGCGTCAAAGCTGAGAGATGATCGGTGAGTGTACAATGATAATGGAACATTTGGTCACACCCATAGACAGACAATTCTCCAGGCTCAAACTATAATCCTACAATTCTTTGTTTTTGGACTCGATGGTATTGGTCGACTCATTATCCATTAATCATTGCACGCTCRCCAATCGTCTCACTTTGATRCAAATGCACGGCTTCCTTTCATTTGTCGGAGGGAACCGTGAAGAAGACTTTCTTTTTGTAATTTCTAATTTACTAGTATGAAMATTTCAATTTTCTTATTAATTTCCAGATGAATGCGAATAGTTCTATGTAATATATATGTTTTTATTGTTAATACGAGGGACCCACTTATATAACTCCTATTTCAATRTCCCAGGGTATGTTTACCAATTTGTAACTCCATGTGATGTCAATACAGTATCTGCACTGCCAGAGCGTMCATACATGTCCATAGTTGGCATGATCAGGAMTTAATGATGACTTTCTCAAAACGACTTCGATGATGATTTTCACTTGACAGCATAGCCAGAAATGTGTGGCCGCATCAACCATGCAAAGATTGTCAATTGATCAGCACAGAATTTCTCATAGAAAACAGTGGAAAACCCGGCATTGTCCAGAGAGATTGGAATGTCCCTTGCACACGAACACCCATCACTCACATACTTCCAGAATCTATCCAGATGAATTTGGAAACTACGACGCCATTTTCCTTCGTCATCTGAAATATCGGGGGRAAATATTTAGTATTACAACCTATTCAAAATATAATATTGATTGCGTGGATCAGGAGGAGCCAACGGGGTCTGTTCTTTAAATAACTGTTCTTGTACGATTTTTTTCCTGGGAAAGGGATTTTGAGCAACATTGTTAACAATCTCACACAAGTAAATGTGGCGACCTTCATTCTTTAACATTGAATTTTGTTCCTGGACGTTTTTAATGCCTAAAAAGACTTGATGACGTTTTTTTATGATCAAAAATGGCTAATATCTTTTTTAGTTATGAAATTTTTATTTTCCTGGCAAAAATTCTTAGAAAGTATTCCTTGTCTGGAGAGTTCTTTTTTACTGAATTTCTTGCTGGCAACAAGTTGTGACTTACAGCTTGCATAAGAAGAGATATATTTCTCCCAGGAACCCGTCGGCTCCTCCTAATATGGGATTCTACGTTTCTTGATGCTCATATGTTCGTATGCAGCCAATCACATTAATTGTTGTTCAGTTGTAAATAAATAGATATYATATATTTGAATATATATTTTTTGCAACTCATTAACATCGGGTTCCAAAAATTGATGACAATGTCAATAACGTTTAACTTAAAATGATCATTATATCAAAATCCTAGGGATTGAGAAACATATTGTGAAAATTACTTTGTTTTTGTCTTTTCAAATGAACAACGCTAATGAGACTGACTGTATCCATAATATATAAATTATAGATTTTATTAACAATTCATGTAAATACAAAAAACCATCTGGAGTTTCTACAAACTAATTAACAATTAATAGATCACGAGGTCGAGTGGACTATGGTATGATGGTTTATACTCCAAGCTCTACTCGACCGAATGGACTATAAAATCGTAGTTCAACCACGTGACCGAGTGGCTTATTGCTTTAATATCCACCAAAATAAAATATAGGATAAATTTAAAAATACTGGAAGACATAAAAAAGGATTTTCTTAACTTTTTTTCGACTTTTGTGAATAGACAACAGTTCAATAGTCAATTAAAATCTTGGATTAGTGTTAGTCCATAGTTTGCTGGATAGTAATTATAATCCACATTTTCATGTAGATCATCAGAGGCGGACCCAGAAATTTTAATGTCCATAAATATTGTGTTGGTCTGTGTGTACGTCTGAGTATGTATTACATTAAAAAGCAATTCTTAAAATGCTGGGGGGAGGGGGCTACGCATGGTGCATGGTTAATTGGGGTGGTATTTCGCAGAACTACTGGTGAGTATAAATGATGTAATGTTATGATTTTAAGGTACTCACCAGATACGTGCTCCAGATAAAAGAAACAGCCACCCTATGTAGACAAATGTGATTATTAGTATACTTATAATGGTAATTCATATTCATAAATGCAATATTATGTCAAAAACAGTTTCTTGCCGTGGAAAATGAAATCAAGACCAAGACTAATATCATTATAAAACACTTACTGGTCATTCAGTGGCAATTAATTTCCCGGAAAAATATAATTAGTGACTAGTTACATAGGCAATTAAAAACATTAMTTATATAATTATCTATAAAATGCCTTTAATTTTCCATTACGTAAAGTTGT